TGCTGCAACTCTGCATGGTGCCCTTTTTAAGCTGTAAGTGTTTCAGGGTTTCAGGAGAGGGACCCAGGCATGTCATCTGGGGGATTACTGTACCATGATTATTGTACCTGTTCCCAGGTTCCCTGTCCCAGGCACAGAAGAAGGGGTAAGCACCAGGTCTAGTACAGTCCTCACAGACCCAGTTCCTGTGAAGACAGAGTGAAATGTCTGTGTATTCTCATTAACAAGTTATGGTGTAAGTTGGGTCTGTCAACCCCCAGGAAAGTGTCTGAAGTGGATGTGAAGAATCTGGAGTGGTGGAAACACAAATTATAATTCTGATCTCAAATCCCAAGTCAACATCAGTTGAGACACCTCCTGTTTCATGAATTCTAATTGTTCTTAATGATAAAAGTCCTGAGTCAGCTACCAGGGAAAAACCTGAAGCATCAGAAAAGCAGAGTATTCAGCCACTAGAGAGTTCTCCCCTCTACAATTGCTCAGACCAAATGGGGAAGATTCTTTCTCTACAAAGTCTCTGACTAAATGTTATCTCTCCAAAACCTCAGACTGCCTCTCAGAGTGAATCATCAGACTGCATCAGAGTTCTTGTTTCTCCTCTATAATATTCCTCTCTCTGCACATCCATGTCACTCCTGTGTCTGTTTCTCTGGTGCTAAAATTAAAGGCATATAATCTTGGGTGCTGGTATCAACTTAGTGTGATACCTTTTTCTAATTTGCACAGATTAATCTCTTGTAGCCCAGAATAGGTTTGTACTCACAGAGATCCGTCCACCTCTATTTTCCTAGTTCTCAGATTAAATGTTTGTGCCACCATTGCCTAGCCTCTGTGGCTAACAAATGTCTTAGCTCTGCACTCTGATCCACAGGATACCGGTTAGATCATAAACAAAATATCATACCACATCCAAGAGCTTTTGTTTTCATAAAACTGAACAATCTTCAAACTTCAGACATGTATTACTGTGCCAGAGGAACACTGAGAGACCTCCAGTGTGAGCTTGGACAGAAACCTCTCTCCTCAGACCAGCATGCAATGTGGAGAATGAACAGGTACTACCAGAAACAATGGTCATCTGGAATATGCAGCATTTGCAACTATTTGATGTCAAACCTTTATTTTTTGCCTTTTACACAAGGTAATCCTCTAGAGTACACTTGACTTGTCCTATCCTATTAATCTTGTTTTTTTAATTATACACTAATAAACTGTGTTCCCACACAATCATCTAAGATGTATAATTGCTCCTTGTCAAACAAATCAGCACATTATTTATATCCATGTCTATATTTATATCTATATCTCTATGTAGATGGGTAGATAGATAGATGGATAGATAGATAGATAGATAGATAGATAGATAGATAGATAGATAGATTGATCAATTGATCGACAGATAGATAGATGATAGAATCTGAAATTATGACACTTTGTAAGACAGCTTTGTAAGAATTTTTAATAATCTTTAATTCATCCTCTTTATTTTTAAACTTGTGATAAAGCACAAATTCCTTGAATTGATGTTACTTTGCAAAGTTAGCTTAAAATATGAACCATCCACAGTTTCTTACCTGTAACTAATAGGACCTTGATAAAAGTGTACAATTGTTATAATTTTTGTATGACTATATTTTTAAACATTTGCATTTTCATAAAAATTATCTTGCATATTGAAGTCCTAGCTAATGATTCCTCTGTAGGCACACTGTGCAATCAGACCACAAAATTCTCATCCACAAATATGCACATCCCAGCAAAAATCAGCTCTGGACCCTGGTCCATCTATCTTCAGTTCTTCACATAGACAACTGAATTCTATGATTTTCACAGATTGTCCTTTTGTTGGTTTTTTTTTTTTTTTTTTTGCCTACAAAGATTCCTAGATTTATTCCTCTGCATTCTCTGTTGTTGCTAACTGGAAGAAATTCGTGTCTCATGAGTGAGCTAGAAAAGTGTCCTTCAGAGAAGCCATGTTGGCTAGGGACTCCATGTTAACAGGTCATAAGCTTGGGGCAGGTTTAAAAAGGAAAAGAGAATCTATTCATCTGAGGCTGAGGATTCTCTGGAATATCAGGCCGTGACACTAACAGTGTGTGATGAAACTTTGGAGACCACATTGACTACATTCTTAGAATCCTGAAAGCAGAACACATAACAGTGAATTAAATACCTACACACAAAGTTCCACTGTCATATTTTCCAGAGTCAGCTTACATAGTTGCTACTGAAATGAATGGATGGACATGGTTAATATTTTGTTTTTTTTATTATTTTTTTAATTGAAAAAATTTCTGCCTCCTCCCTGCCTCCCATTTTCCTTATCCTCCCCCCACTCCTCTCCCCCCCACTTCTCTCTCCCTCCCTCTACAGTCCAAAGAACAGTCAGGGTTCCCTGCCCTGTGGGAAGTCCAAGGTCCTCCCCCCTCCATCCAGGTCTAGGAAGGTGAGCATCCAAACAGGCTAGGCTCCCACAAAGCCAGTGCATGCAATAGGATCAAAACCCAGTGACATTGTTTTTGGCTTCTCATCAGCCCTCATTGTCTGCCATGTTCAGAGAGTCTGGTTTTATCCCATGCTTTTTCAGTCCCACTCACGCTGGTCTTGGTGAGCTCCCATTACATCAGCCCCACTGTCTCAGTGGGTGGGTGCATCAATCGCGGTCCTGACTTCCTTGCTCATGTTCTCCCTCCTTCTGCTCCTCATTTGGGCCATGGGATCTCAGTCCAGTGCTTCAATGTGGGTCTCTGTCTCTATCCCCATCCATCGCCACCTGAAGGTTTTATGGTAATATGCAAGATATTCATCAGTATGGCTATAGGATAGGGCCATTTTAGGTTCCTTCTCCTCAGCTGTCCAAGGAACTAGCTGGGGGCATCTCCCTGGACACCTGAGAGCCCCTCTAGAGTCAGGCCTCTTGAAAACCCTAAGATGGCTCCCTTAATTAAGAAATATACCTCCCTGCTCCCATATCTACCCTTCCATTATCCCAACCATCCCATTTCCCCAAGCTCTCCCCATCCTCCCCTTCTTACTTTTCTCTCCCCAATTCCCCTTTCTCCCAGTCCACCACACCTCAAGTTCCCAATTTTTCCTGGCATTCTTGTCTACTTTCCATATCCAGGAGGATAACTATGTTTTTCTTTAGATTCACCTTCTTATTTAGCTTCTTAAGGATCACAAATTAGAGGCTCAATATTCTTTATGGCTAGAAATCAATTATGAGTGAGTACATCCCATGTTCATCTTTTTGGGTCTGGGATCCCTCACTCGAGATAGTGTTTTCTATTTCCATCCATTTGCATGCAATATTCAAGATGTCATTGTTGTTTACCACTGAGTAGTACTCTAATATGTATATATTCCACACTTTCTTCATCCATTCTTCTATTGAAGGGCGTCTAGGTTGTTTCCAGGTTCTGGCTATTACAATAATGCTGCCATGAACATAGTTGAACAAATGCTTTTGTCATATGATAGGGCATTTCTTGAGTATATTCCCAAGAGTGGTATTGCCTGGTCCAGGGGTAGGTTGATCCCGAATTTCCTGAGAAACCACCACACTGATTTCCAAAGTGGTTGCACAAGTTTGCATTCTCACCAGCAATGGATGTGTGTACCCCTTTCTCCACAACTTCTCCAGCAGAGGCTATTATTGCTGTTTTTGATTTTAGCCATTCTGACAGGTTTAAGATGGTATCTCAAAGTTGTTTTAATTTGCATTTCCCTGATCGCTAAGGAGGTTGAAGATGACCTTAAGTGTCTTTTGGCCATTTGAACTTCTTCTGTAAAGAATTCTCTGTTCAGTTCAGTGTCCCATTTTTGAATTGGGTTAATTAGCTTTTTAAAGTCAAGTTTCTTGAGTTCTTTATATATTTTGGAGATCAGACATTTGTCTGTTGTGGGGTTGGTGAAGATCTTCTCCCAGTAAGTAGGTTGCCTTTTTGTATTAGTGACAGTGTCCTTTGCTTTACAGAAGCTTCTCTGTTTCAGGAGGTCCCATTTATTCAGTGTTGCCCTTAGTGTCTGTGCTGCTGGGGTTATACATAAGAAGCGATCTCTTGTGCCCATATGTTGTCCTTTTTCACAGCATTTCACAGCACCCCTCCCTGTGTTCTACTCCTCATATCCTTCCCATATCCTCTTCTTCAGCATTCTTTGAACCTTAGAGGCACTTGAATGACACTGGAAATCTTATATCACACAACATATTGAAGATTTTGAAGGACAATTTCTGCCTCATAGGGAATCCAGACTGTGTTTGAGACTCTGTGTGTTTGGTGCTCTCGCTTCTGTTCTGTAGGCTTAGAACTAGAATGGAAGTCAAGACAGGAAAAGACATCTTAAATGAAGAGTAAGAGGGAAAAAGCACAGGGTAATGAAGAGGCTTTGAAAGGAAAAGTTGGGTGTCATGAGAGAATGGGGATGAGTGGTTAGAAAGCATGAGAATTTGGGAAAATACAAACAATGTCTTCTGAAAATATAAAATTGATGCAAAAGTTTTGTGTTTTCTTACAAAATTACATTAAATGTCCTTTTTGTGCTGACTATATAAATATACAGAAATAAAAGCTGACCTAAGATAGCATGAAGACAGCCATGTGTAGCCTGATATCTCGATGGGAAAGGGAAAGGCCTAAAATGCGATCATAGGAAGAATTTCAGGATGCAAACAATTTAGTGCTGCAAATATGAATATGTTCTTACTGCAATCACTGAGAGGAAGACAGACAGCAACTAAAACATTTTCCATGCATATGATGAAAAGAGAACTAAATAAAGTGTGGTGAATCCCTAACAAGGAAAATGTGTACACAGAGCTACAGTAATGCTTCATATTCTGTAACTGTCGTCAGTGTTCATGAAGTCTTATATCTGCTCTGAGTACTGCTTTCTGCCCAGGTCCAACTACAGAGCCTGTTATGGCAGGAAGATATGCAAATAAGTCTTCTTTGTGCCCATAAAATCCAGCCCTACCTTGACCCTGCAGTTCTGGCAGAGGAAAACAGCCCTGGATTTCCAAATCCTCCCAGTCAGGGTTCAGCAGTGAACACAGGTCACTCACCATGGACTTAGGGCTCATATTGGTTTTCTCTGCCCTTATTTTAAAAGGTAATTCATAAAGATGAGATACTGTGTATTGTGTGGATATGAGAAACAAAAAATTTGTCTTCTGTGACAGTTTTCTAACCAGAATTCTTTGTGTTTACAGGTGTCCAGTGTGAGGTTCAATTGCTGGAGTCTGGGGGAGGCTTAGTGCAGCCTGGGAATTCCCTGAAACTCTCCTGTGCAGCCTCTGGATTCACCTTCAGTAATTATTACATGCACTGGGTCCGCCAGTCTCCAAAGAAGGGACTGGAATGGGTCGCAGAGATTAATAAAAATGGTGGTAGCACCTGGTATACCGACGCTGTGAAGGGCCGGTTCACAATCTCCAGAGACAATGCCAAGAACACTCTGTACCTGGAAATGAACAGTCTGAAGTCTGAGGACACAGCCATGTATTACTGTGCAAGAAACACAGTGAGTGAATGCTACTGTGAGCTCAGACAAAAACACCACCATGGGGAACAGAAAACCAGCAGGGGGCGCTGAGAGCACTTAGAGATCTTAGCATGGCCTTCTCTGTGTCTCCACTGCCCCTCCTTATCACACTTAGAGATTTTCTCTAAGGTATAGTGTGTAATAATCATTGAATGTCCAAATTATTGTTTAAATTTGTGGTTCCAGTTGTGTTGTATGTGTTTATTTATTAAAGTGTTTCTCCGTTTCCCTTTATCCCTATCTCTTTCTATGTCTCAGTCTCTCTCCCTCTTTACTCTCTCCCTCTCTCTCACTTCTCTCCGTGTGTGTGTGTGTGTGTGTGTGTGTGTGTGTGTGTGTGTGATGACATATGATGCATTTCTTTAAAAATCTGCACCACTTGCTTTAAGACAGATTCTATCACAGGGCCTGGATCTCAACGATTGAGTAGTCTGGTTGTTTACTGAATCCCAGTGACAGTTCTGACTCCACATTCCCTAAATGGTATATTGCTTGGCTGCTACACCTATTTCTTTTTCTAATTATGGATTTTGAATTCTGTGTTCAGAACCCACTGAAAGGTTCTTGTGTGGCAAAAATTCATTTTTCACAGCCCCATTATAGTTGCTTTTTAAATTTAAGATGTGCTTTTACCTGAAGAAAATGCAGATCATCACACAGGGCAAAATGATCCTGTTTAGTGATCAGCATAATTTCCCGATGAAGCCAAAGAAGACTGTAAACCCTAGAAAATAAAGGCAGCTCAGAGCCACATGTGAGTCTAGTGGACCCTGTGGTATTTGTTTACCTTCATGAGCACTACACTACCCACACACAAACATCCATCCCTAATTAAAACAGTGTATTTTTTAAAAAGTTCTCATTTAATATTGTGATTTGTTCCAATGGTCTAGGTATTGTGCAGTTTATATGATACCTTGATTCAAACGGTAATATTTCAAAATAAATTTATCATTTTTATTAAAAATACTGAGTAGAAACATCAGTACTCCCCATTAAAGATTATAACAAGATTTCTGTCATCCAAGAGAACAGTTTAAATTTTCCTTCCAAGAAAAACTCCTTTCTCTCACTTCTCTAAGATTTGCGTCAGGCGGTTAACAGATAGCTCTGGGAACCTAAAGTTGAGAGGTGATGTTCTCATGAACACATTGTTCTGCCCTCCATCTTCTGATTGAGATGCTTCACCTTGACCAGTGAAAGTGGGCAGAAGAGTTTACATAAAGCTAACACTTTTCATGACCACAGAAAAGGATCTTAATCCCAAAAGAATTAGTTGTCTGTAACCAATGATATGAGTATCATTTACCCAAGGAAAGAATGAGACCAACTGCTATGGCAATGAAGAGGAAGGGATGCTTGTGCTGTGGAAATAGGAATGTGGTTCTACTAAAACATTATGAAAACTGTGGAGCCCCTCAAAAAATTATACATCTGGATGAGCAGAAAACAGAAGAAGAACCAGGCGGTGGTGGCGCACGCCTTTAATCCCAGCACTCGGGAGGCAGAGGCAGGCGGATCTCTGTGAGTTCGAGACCAGCCTGGTCTACAAGAGCTAGTTCCAGGACAGGCTCCAAAACCTCAGAAAAACCCTGTCTCGAANAAAAAAAAAAAAAAAAAAACAGAAGAAGAGCTTTGCAGTTAATCAGGAAAGGAGGGAAGAGAGAAAAGAAGAGACATGAGAATAGGAGAGGACAGAGGGTAAAAGAAGAGAGAGAAAGAGGAGAAAGGGTAGTGAGATACATCAGAGAATTTACAATATATTATGAATGAGCACTGTGATTTGTTTCTAAGTAGAATAAATAACATAGGTGGAAAAAGAATATTTTCAATTATCATGTGATGCTTATATACATATAACTATCTGCCCTTGTTTGTGATTTTTTAAATCATAATTGAAATTTTTATTTTTTTTTCATCCAAAAATTTAAACTTTTTCCCCTCCTCCCATTTCCCTCTCACTCCCCCACTCACCCTCCTCCTTCCCCCTCCCACCTTAAGAGAGGGCAGGGAACCCTGACCTATGGGAAGTCCAAGTCCCTTCCCCCTACATCCAAGCCTAGAAAGCTTTGCATCCAAATAGTCTAAGGTCCCAAAAAACCAGTACATTCAGTAGAAACAAGTCCCAGTGCCTTTATCACTGACTTCTCAGTCAGGCCCCATTGTCAGCCACATTCAGAGATTCTCGTTTGATAGCATGCTCATTCAGTCCCAGTCTGGATTTGGTGAGTTCCCATTAGAACAGGCACACCACCTCAATGAATGGACCAACCCCTTGCAGTCCATACTTCTTTGCACATCTTCTCCCTCCTTCTGCTCTTCAACTGGACCTTGGGAGCTCAGTCCATTGCTAACCCCTTGCAGTCCATACTTCTTTGCTCATCTTCTCCCTCCTTCTGCTCTTCAACTGGACCTTGGGAGCTCAGTCCATTGCTCTGATGAGGGTCTCTGTCTCTATCTCCATCTACTGCCGAACAAAGATTCTATGGTGATATTCAAGATAAACATCAGTGTGATAGTGGGGCAAGGCCAGTTCAGGCACCCTCTGATCTAACTGGGGACATCCCTGTGGACACCTGGGATCCCCTCTAGAACCAAGTATCTTGCCAACCCTAAAATGGCTCTTTTAATGTAGATATCTTTTCCCTGCTCCTATATGGGCCCTTCCTCCATCTCCACCCTCCCACTTCCCCAAGCTCTCTGCAGTTTTTACTTCCTCCCCCTCTCCTCTTCTCCCAACTCCATCCCCACCCCTACCCCTACCGTCATGCCCCCAACTTTTGCCTGGCAATCTTGTTTGTTTCCAATTTCCAGGAGGATCTATATATGTTTTTCTTTGGGTTTACCTTGTTATTGGGCTTCTCAAGGCCTGGGAACTATAGGCTTAATGTCCTTTCTTTATATCTAGAATCCACTAATGAATGAGTACATACCATATTCATCTTCTTGGGTATAGGTTATCTCACTCAGGATAGTGTTTTCTATTTCCATCCATTTGCATGCAAAATTTAAAACATCATTTTTTTACCACTGAGTAGTACTATAATATGTATATATTCCTATGTATATATTCCACACTTTCTTTATCCATTTTTCCATTGAGGAGCATCTAGGTTGTTTCTAGGTTCTGGCAATTACAAATAATGCTGTTATGAACATAGTTGAACAACTGCTTTTGTAGTATGATTGGGCATCTCTTGGGTATATTCCCAACAGTAGTATTGCTGGATCCTGAGATAGATTGATTTCCAGAGATGCAAGACTGATTCACATACGAAAATCTATCAATGTAATCCATCATAGAAACAAACTGAAAGAAAAAAACATATGATCAATTCATTAGATGCTGAAAAAGCACTTGACAAAATTCAACACCCCTTTATGATAAAGGTCTAGGAGAGGTTAGGGATACCATGATCATATCTAAATTTAATAAAAGAAATATACAGCAAACCAACAGCTAATATCAAATTAAATGGAGAGAAATTCAAATCCATTCCACTAAAATCAGGAACAAGACAAGGCTGTCCACTCTCACTATATCGCTTCAACATAGTGCTTGAAGTTTTAGCAGTAGCAATGAGACAGCATAAGGAGTTCAAGGGGATTTGAATGGGAAAGAAAGAAGTCAAACTTTCGTTATTTGCAGATGATATGATTGCATACATCAGTGACCCCAAAAACTCTTCCAAAGAACTCCTGTAGCAGATAAATACCTTCAGTGATGTGGCAGGATACAAGATCAAATCATAAAAATCAGTAGCCCTTCTGTACACAAAGGATAGAGAAGCAGAAAGGGAAATCAGAGAAACTTCACCTTTCACAATAGCCACAAATCGCATAAAGTATCTTAGGGTTACACTAACCAAAGAAGTGAAAGATCTATTTGACAAGAATTTTATGGCTTTGAAGAAAGAAATTGAAGAGGACACTAGAAAATGGAAGAATCTCCCTTGCTCTTGGATGGTTAGGATCAACATAGTAAAAATGGCAGTTCTACCAAAGGCAATCTATAAATTCAATGCAATTCCTATCAAAATTCCAACAAAATTCCTCACAGACCTTGAGAGAAGAATAAATCAAATTATATGAAAAAAAAAGCCCAGGATATCCAAAAGAATCTTATACAATAAAGGAATTTCCAGAGGCACTACCATCCTTGACTTCAAACTCTATTACAGAGCTACAGTAATGCAAACAGCTTGGTATTGGCATAAAAACAGAGATGTTGACAAATGGAATTGAATTGAAGACACACAATTTAACCCACAAACCAATGAATACCTGATTTTTGACAAAGGAGCTAAAATTATACAATGGAAGAAAGAAAGCATGTTCAACAAATGGTGCTGATATAACTGTATGTCAACATGTAGAAGAATGAAAAAGAGATCCATATCTATCACTATGTACAAACTCAAGTTCAAATGGATTAAAGACCTCAATATAAATCTGACCACACTGAACCTGATAGAAGAGAAAGTGCGAAGTAGTCTGAAACACATGGGCACAGGAGACCAATTCTTATGTAAAACCCCAGTAGCACAGACAATAAGGGTAACAGTGAATACATGGGACCTCCTGAAACTGAGAAGCTTCTGTAAAGCAAAGGACACTGTCATTAAGACAAAAAGGCATCCTACTGAATGGGAGATCTTCACCAACCCTGCATCAGACAAACATCTGATCTCCAAAATATATAGAGAACTCATGAAACTGCACATGAAAATTCTAATTAACCCAATTAAAAAATGGAGTACTGAACTGAAAAAAGAATTTTCATCAGACAAAGTTCAAATGGCCAAAAGACACTTAAGGTCATGTTCAACCTCCTTAGCGATCAGGGAAATGCAAATAAAAACAACTTTGAGATGCCATCTTACACCTGTCCGAATGGCTAAATCAAAAACACCGATGATAGACTTTGCTGGAGCGGATGTAGAGTAAGGGGTACACTCATCCATTGCTGGTGGGAATGCAAACTTATGCAACCATTTTGGAAATCAGTGTGCCGGTTTCTCAGAAATATGTGTGTGTGTTTTTAGGAAGGATTGTCTCTGTTGTATATCTATCTGTATTTATGTGTCTGAGTGCTTGCTTCAGAGATGCATGCTTTCTCATCATCTATAAATAATTTACATTAACGAGGTTACCACAGCATCATATGAACACAGAAACCTCTTCTGAAATCAGGTGAGCAGCAAGGCTGGGATACAAGTTTCAATTCAGACCCAGAGTCTCCCTTACCCTGATCAAGCTTCTGAGGCATTTCAGTTCCTTAATATCTCAGTGACCCTCAAAGCAGCAGAGACAGAGAACCCAGCTCAAGGGACCTGTCTTTCTCTTTTAGATGTGCGGCAGACACTTTTACTCATATGTGCACTCTGCTCTTATTCAGGTGTGTGGTGTTGAACATGAATAGTGAGATTCCAGCACACGCTGTGTTTCAACTACACAGTACTCTTGAAAGGATCACGGAGTTCAGACTCAGAATAGCAGTCACCAGCTGAGGGTGAAGTTTCCTTTTACTTCTTCTTGTACTCTTCCTACTCTTCATTTGGTTTGATTTATCTTCTATACCCCGACATTCTCAAGAACCATGCTCAGTAAATTGATCCTTTTCTTTGTTTCGTTTTCTTTTGGTGTATTTGAAATAAGGTTTCTCTGAAGTCTCAGAGAACTAGCTCTTTGTAGAGCATGCAGGCTACAAATTCGCAGAAATCAGCCTTCCTCTGCCTCTCAAGTGCTGGGATTATAGGTTTGTGCCAGCACTACCCAGCAGTAAATTGATTTTTTACAGAATCAGGTATAAGTGCTGGATGTCAAGAAAGAAATAATTGTGTATCCTGGTGTTTATTTTAGTAGTACATAAATTCCGTCATCAAAAATTATTTTCTGTAGAAAAATGGGATGTTATATAAGATTGAGCTAGGCTTGTTATTTTGTCGTAGAGTGCTTTGTGACCATGTGAAAGGCCTTAAGTTTAAGAACCAAATTTACTTAATAATAGGAATTAAGCACTTAGACAAATATCATTCTTACTTTCATAGTCTTAAATGAGCAACTCTATGACTGGAAAAGGAATGGAAGTGCCCACAGTGAGAAGTGCAGTAATAAAGTTGTGGAGAGGAAACAAGTCTACAGGAGTACATCTCTTGGATTCAATGGCAAACATTTCATCCAAGGTCAACAGCATCCATGGCACAGTTGTTAATAACTACAAACCATGAATCCAATGACAAGTAAGGACAATGTTAGAATGACTAGAAATGCTAATTGGTTAGAGTGTGTGTGCGTAGTACATGGTTTGCATATATGTCAGGAGGCTAGAGTGGAGTTTGTGTATGATTAGCAGTTGATTTCTATCTTATTCTTGAGTAAGGATGTCACAGTGACCCTGGAGCACAAATGCTCAGACAGAATCTTTGGCTGGCTAAACTTAGAGTACCTTCAGTCACAATGCCTCCAGTGCTGGGAATATAGGATAAACTATCACACCCAGCTTCTAAGCTAAGTGTTGTAAATTAGGCTAAGATTTTAATACTGGGAGGCAGGTGCCTTACCAACGAGCCAACTCTTGAGGCCTGAATATTATCACTGTACATTGATAAAAGATTTGTAATTTGTAAAAGAAAATATGTATATTGTATAATAATTTTTAAAAGAGAAAATGTATCGCTAACTATGAATTTTTAAACTGTTAACAGTCTATATGGAAATGAATACTTCATGTACAAACCCATGTCCTTATAAATGACTCTTAAAACTCTGACTTTTTATGAAAATCTGGAATTGGGGAGATGGGCAGGATCTGCAAAAGAAGATAGAAAGTAAATACTTATCAGAATATATTGTGTTGAACATTTTTCAAGAAAATAAATTCATTAATGATTGACAACACTACATTTGATGGTTGGGCATGGTGAAATAATAGTGTCAATCCATTCAATTGGGAAACAGAAGCAAAAGTCAGTCACCATAAAAGAAAGGGAAAACTCCTGGTTTCCTTTATCCTTTCAGGAACCTCCTGCAATGCAAAGTAGCCCTCAGACTCAGAATGAAAGCCATAGACTAGCTCAGAAGCCCATCTCCTTCTCACTAGAGCTCCAGCAAAGCATGGCTGTCTTGGTGCTGTTCCTCTGCCTCTTGACCTGTCCAACCTGTAAGTGTTTCAGAGTTTTAGGAGAGAGAACCAGGTACAGCATGTATGGAATATTTGGCTGATGGTGATGTTGCTTTTCCCCAGGTGCATTGTCCCTGTTCCAGGTGAAGAAGTCAGTACCTGAACTGGTGCAGCCATCACAGCAGACCAAGACCCTGTCTCTCACCTGCACTGTCTCTGTGTTCTCATTAACCAGCTGTCATGAACACTGGTCCACCAGGCTCCAGGAAAGGGTCTGCAGTTAATTGGAATAAGATGGTATAAGGAAAACACCGATTATAATTCAGCTTTCAAATCCTAGATCACTATCAGCAGGACATCTCCAAAAGCCAAGTTTTCTTAAAACAATCTGCAAACTGAGAACAAACCCATATACTACTCTACCAGAGACATTGTTATAGAACTCCAGTGTGAAGCTGTATAAACCATCTTACAGAGAGCTCAGGGCCAGCACAAAGTAGTACTAAGGGCTTACAGAGACTCAACATTGCAATATTCTAGAACTTAATTTTTACTAATTTTTAATGCATATTAATATTTTTGAAGTCCTGTTTTCCACTGTAATCTTTACTTTTCTACACAATTTGTGATCTCATCTGAACAAGATAGCAACAAACAGGGCAGACACATCATTGCTGTGGGTACCAGGTTCAATTTGGAAGAGATTCAAAGATCAATGGGAGTGGGGTCTTTCGATTTGTAACAGAGTTTCAGTTAATTCTCCAGTTAGAGTAGAATTTATGAGTTTAGTAAGAGCCAACAGATCATGCAGGAATACCCTGGTAGGACCTATAATCCATTAACTTGATTTCCTTCATCTCTTCAACATCCTCACATGAAACATGAACATCTATTTCATAATTAATCTTTGCTATACTCTGGCACATATACCATGGAACTAAAGAATCTAGAGATAGCTGATGGAGGAAGGTCATTGGCTAATAAAGAAACTGGCTTGGCCCATTTTATTGGTTAGAACATAGGTGGGTGGAGTAAACAGAACAGGATGCTGGGAGGAAGAGGAAGTGAGCTCAGACTCCACAGCTCTGCTCTCTGGAGCAGAGATGCCAGGCTCTGCTCTCCCAGGCAGCTCTGACCCAGGATGGATGTAGGCTAGAATCTTCCCAATAAGTGCACCTTGGGGTGCTACAAACAATTATTAGAAATGGGCTAGTCCAGGTGCGAGAGTTAGCCGAGAAGAGGCTAGATAGAAATGGGCCAAGCAGTGTTTAAATGAATACAATTTGTGTTTTGTTATTTTGGGCATAAGCTAGCAGGCAGCTGGGGTGCTGGGGACGCAGCCCCGCCGCTCCTATTTCAACAGATAGCAGCTGAGCTTCAGGAGCCTGCAGGATGTTCTTGGCTAACATCCTATCTAAGGTGTCCTTGAACCTCAAGTCCCTTTCTGGAAATGCTGTCAAATCACATTGTAAGTTGTATGTCTTAGGATCTATTCTGGTCTTCTCAGATCCCTAGTGTGTAATAAATTTGTTTTTGGCTAAAATAAAATACCCTACCTCTACCGAGGTATTCAAAAGTTTACAGGATTTTAATTTTATCATGTAGATACATTTCTCTCTCTATTGTTTCCTCCACAGACTTCTTACTTACACTGATTTACTTGCAAATAAGTTTTGTGGTCTCTGCAATGATATCTGAGTTACAAATCCTTGATCTGAATGTCAGATATCCCAGGTTGTGGCATTCAGGGATTTGGGGAAAGACTTGTATATTGTGGGCCATCCTCCATCACATTATGGTATAGGAGGTCCTTCTGTTTATGTATTGCTTTTATTGGTTAATCAATAAAGAAACTACTTGTACTGATAGGGTTGAACTTAGGTAGGCAGAGAAGACAAATCTGAATTCTGGAGGGAAGAAAGCAGACAGAGAGCCACCATGGAGATGCCAGATCAGACATGCTAAACCTTTGCTGGTAAGCCATGACCTTGTGTTGAACACAGATTAATAGAAATGGGTTAAATCAAGATGTGAGAGTTAGACAATAGGAGGCTAGAGCTAATGGCCAGCCACTATTTTAATTAATACAGTTTCTGTGCGATTATTTCAGTTGTAAGCCAGCCAGGAAGCAGGGACAAACAAGGGGAAGCCACTCCCTGTGATAGGAAAGACCAGTGCCCTCCCTACTACATCTAGGTTGAGCAAGGTATACATCCAAAGAGAACATACATTAAAGACAAATCCCAGTGTCACTATCAGTGGCCCCTCAGTCTGCCACAACTGTCACCCACATTCAGAAGGACTAGTTCCCATGCTCATTCATTCCCAGTCCAGTTGGACTTGGTGAGCTACCATTAGCTCAGGCAAACTGGCTCAGTGGATGAACCCCTCATAGTATTGAATTCTTTGCTCATACTCTTACTCCTTCCACTCTTCAGCTGGATCTTGGGAGCTCAGTCCAGTGCTCCCATGTGTGTCATTGCCTCTGTTTCCTTCTTTTGTTGGACGAAGTTTCTCTCCCGTCCCCTCAGTATTGGAGCAGGCTGTGCAGCAGGGTTCCCAGAGCTCACAGCCCCACAGTCCTTATTCTATGTGTCATTAGCATTGAGCTTCTCTGTGAATAAAAGTGGGAACAGAATTTTAAAAAGAAATCTACTGTTGTATTTTCAGCATACTACAATCTCTGATAAATAATGTATATCTTGCATAACATCATAATAACTGTCTTGTGAGTAAACACTGGTGAAACCATTGTAGCAACACCATCATTTCTCCCCTGATGTTCCCACCAATATTACATCATACAATTTTACTAGTCACTTAGAGGTTTATATACTGAAACATTTAAGTTTTTGGATGTTTTCTCCTGGCTTTTTCCTCCTTACAGGAATGTTAACTGAAAAATTTATAATGAATTTTATAATTTTTATAATTTTCTATGCTTATAGCTTGTTTTCCTTCAGCTTTCCTGGTCAAACACCCAGATGTTTTAATGTCTAATTTAAAAGCAAGATAAATAGACTATGACAAGTAAAGGGAACTCTAGAAGATTTCCTTGTGTAAAAGAAGAAAAAAAAACAAAGGTTATGACATCAAACAGGTATAAATAAAGCATATTCCAGAACTTCCTAGTTTTTTAAGTTACCACCTTCTCTTCAGTATGTCCTGTGATTCATTCTAGATAATTTTAAAGAAAA